GTGTGACGTTTGTTACAACTTTGGTTGCCCCACCTGCACCTGGGTTTGGGTTGAGTGAGTACACTCGACTTCATGACTTGAGTGAGTAGACTCAATACGTCACAAAAAAACATACAAAAATTAACTCTGCGTCAAAACTCTTCCAACATATTTCGTGACCCGTACCTACTTTATGCCTACTTATTTACATAAGTGACGAATTTCTTTCAATGATAAAACTTACAAAAGTGTGTCGAATCGATATGATATTGATAATAGCCCGTCCAAAGGGCTCCTACTTGACCAAGGAGGCGTTACATAACACAAATGATGGCGAGCAAAGTGATTTTTTGTTGTTTCAGAGTGGTGGTGGGCGGGCGCATGCGTGGGCGCAGGCGTGCTGCTGTGCGCCGCGGGCGCGCTCGCCTGCCCGCGCCTGCGCCGGCGCCACGCGGCCGCAGCCGCCGCCAACCCCGTGAGTCGTCACTTAACTCAATCAGATCAGCTAATCAAATCAAAAATATTATGAATGTCAATGATTATTAAAAACAGGGGCATTTTACATGTCTCCATAACTTTTGGGCCATACCAGCGCTTCAAAACAAACTTAAGGCACAAAGCATCAGGATTCATTCGTGAGGGCTCTTTTTACACTTAGTCTGTAGTTAAAATCTTGAAAAAGGTAAAAAAAAACTCAGTCCCATGTAAAATTTATGAAATAATAACGAAATAAAACATTCCCGTAGTAAAAGACAAAGATGACACACTTAATAAAAAAAATGTTTGGATACAACATTTCCACAGAAAATTCATTGGGTAATTTATTTTGGATTCATTAAAAAAGAGTAGGTACCTATTAAATTATTAGGAGGAAGTAACATAAATAAAGTGGCCTAATTCCACGTTGGGCGCCAAAAAAAGGAAATTCCCGTTAAAACTTTCATTTCAAAGCCATCCCATATAATTTGTCTTGTGAACTTAAAACAGTCTAAAAAATTGTTAAAGCTACTGCCCGTTAGTATCGTGAAGTGCTGACTGTGGTTAGTCAGCACTACACTACAGTCTCTTCCTGATTAAAATCTGACCCACACTATCAGTGGAATATTTTAACATGGTAACTGCTGTAATGGGTTAATGGAACTCAATGTATCAGCTTAATCACTGTAGTTATTTTTAAAGTGCTGTAATTTTGATACTAAATTGAACTTTGAGTTTATAACCTTCGAAATAGGTCCTTACCGTTTAGTGAAATACATTCTAAGGTTTTTTATCAGCCATATCTACAGCTACCATACCATCTTACTTGCTTACCATACCCTTTTTCCAACCTTTTTCGCTAAAATTCTGTTCTAATGACAGACGAATGGTCTCGTGTATATTTCATAAAGAATATCTAGACAATCGCAACGACACCTTGCGTGCCGAGTACTCGTTGTAGGCTTGTGGGTCAAACCGTTTGTCTTTTGCGAAATCCCGATGAAGGATTAAGTGAGACAGTGAAAGGCTGTGCTACGTAAATGTGGCATCAATAGTCTACATTGCACCATTTTTGCAAGAAAAATGCGGTATTTGCCAAGTTTGAAATACTTTTCAACATATCATCTTGAGACATCTTCTTGTAATATAAAACATACGAGTATAATGATTGTACAATTATACTTAGCTAATCGTTTATACCAAATTTTCCCATTTATATCTATTGGTAAAATACGGACAATCCGTGGTTGAGGTCTATTACCTGCACTGACAAAGTAGGTACCTACCTATCTAGGCAGAAAAAAATACAGTCGAGATACTAAATGCAACCTTTACAGCATCTGGTATTTTATTAGTTTATTGAATTAATTAGTTAATCTAATTGAATTGTATTTTTTTTTCTGTAAAGATAACAATTATTATCCTCACGCCAATTACAAATTTCCAATAGTCCTTTCTCCCTGACAATGTANTCAATGTAATAAGCATAGCTGATCTGGAAGTATACTTATCTAAGATTTTTTTTTCCTTTATTCGAAAATCTCTTTCACTGAGAGACAAAAACAACACTTATTACCAAGAGACATAGTAGGTTTAATTCCAGACTGCAAATACTTACGTCCTAATCAAACTGGAAACCCCACTACAAATTGATTTCTTCGTCACTTGGTGTTTTGCTTCTAGATACGCACTCCCAGGTAGGTACTATAGTATCTAACTTATCTAATACTTTACCAGATGGCAGCAAGGATACGGCCAATTTTCACCCTTGAATTGACTTTCAGTCAGATTATTATAACCGACCATTTTACTTTGCGGTCCACTGTAATGTAAACTTAGCATCTAATCTACTCCATGGTTTATTTCGCAAATGTGTAGTCTGCAGATACATGCAATCAAGCATTACTTACTTAGGTATTTCTTTCCCTCCTCAATTAAGGTATACCTACTTAATTAACTAAACGCACAAAAGCAAAAAACACTAGATTGTTTATCTTTATTGTTTTTTGCTGCGGTATGTATTCCCGTTTCATTTGTAAAATCGAACCTAGAACCTAACTATGCCAGAACTTTGAGCTTGATTGTCTGTGGCCCTCTGAGTGTTTCAATTTCCGAAATTAAGACGAATATTGAAATATATAATTTTTTCTTACCTATTTAATTAAACTGTTTCAGTTAGGTACATATTATTTAATTAAGGCTAATTTATTTCAGTCTCAGTATGAGCTTTCTGCCCCTGCATACTAGTAGCTCGTAGTAGAGAATCCTATTATCTATGCCTTAGCCTGTTCTGGAGAAACGAGGGAAAAAAAAGAAATGTCATCCGTGATCAAAATAGAGATGCACACACGTACAAATTAATTAAATTCGATTTATTAAAAAATATATCGATTAATCGTTAATGTATGTTTTTAATTATTATTATTGTGTAATATTGTGAGATAACCAAAAAAATAAAAAATACACCTAATCAATTTCTAAAAACTAAGTAGGTACATGAATATGGCAGAGGTTATAATTATTTCAAACGCAATAATTATAATACAAAAAGCATTTTTTTTTTTACTTTTTGTATAATTACTTATTTTCTATCGCTTATAATAGCCACTCTGACTTAGGTATTTCTTATAAGTTTATAATATGTTTTTTCTTTTTACTTACTATGAAAAAATCTAGCCCAACAATAGGTATTTTTGTATTTACAGTTAAATGACCGCACACGATTAGTAATAAATATACCTATTAGTAAAGTATGTAGATATGATCAATATAATTTATTTTTATCTGAAATTACCTAGATTCGTGGGAATCGCTTGATGNACAATGTAATAAGCATGAATAGCTGATCTGGAAGTATACTTATCTAAGAAATTTTTTTCCTTTATTCGAAAATCTCTTTCACTGAGAGACAAAAACAACACTTATTCCCAAGAGACATGGTAGGTTTAATTCCAGACTGCAAATACTTACGTCCTAATCAAACTGGAAACCCCACTACAAATTGATTTCTTCGTCACTTGGTGTTTTGCTTCTAGAGACGCACTCCCAGGTACCTAAGTAGGTACTATAGTATCTAACTTATCTAATATACTTTACCAGATGGCAGCAAGGATACGGCCAATTTTCACCCTTGAATTGACTTTTAGTCAGATACTTTTAAAGATATAGATAGATATTATAACCGACCATTTTTCTTTGCGGTCCAGTGTAATGTCTACAACAAACTTAACAATATGGCATCTAATTTACTCCATTTTAATAGGTTTATTTCGCAAATGTGTAGTCTGCAGATACATGCAATCAAGTTACTTAGGTATTTCTTGCCCTCCTCAATTAAGGTACCTACTTAATTAACTAAACGCACAAAAGCAAAAAACACTAGATTGTTTAACTCTATTGTTATTTTACTGCAGTATGTATTGCCGTTTTATTTGTAAAATCGAACCTAGAACCTGTCTGTGGCCCTCTGAGTGTTTCAATTTCCCAAATTAAGACGAATATTGAAATATATAAATTTTTCTTACCTATTTAATTAAACTGTTTCAGTTAGGTACATATTATTTAATTAAGGCTAATTTCAGTCTCAGTATGAGCTCTCTGCCCCTGCTACATAGCTCTAGCTCGTAGTAGAGAATCCTATATCTATGCCTTAGCCTGTTCTGGAGTCAACGAGGGAAAAAAAAGAAATGTCATCCGTGATCAAAATAGAGATGCACACACGTACAAATTAATTAAAATCGATTTATTAAAAAATATATCGATTAATCGTTAATGTATGTTTTTAATTATTATTATTGTGTAATATTGTGAGATAACCAAAAAAATAAAAAATACACCTAGTTAATCAATTTCTAAAAACTAAATAGTACATGAATATGGCAGAGGTTATAATTATTTCAAACGCTCCCAAATTCCTATCGCTCATAAGAAATACCTAAGTAAGAGTGGCTCTTACTTAAAAAAAATATTTTAATGTTTTTTCTTTTTACTATGAAAAAAAAATTCTTGCCCAACAATAGGTATTTTTGTATTTACAGTTAAATGGCCGCACACGCTTAGTAATAAATATACCTATTAGTAATGTAAGATATGATCAATATAATTTATTTTTATCTGGAATACCTAGATTCGTGGGAATTGCTTGATGAGTTACTCCGGCTGGTTACGTACGACTTTACGGCTACAACTCGATCATTGAGCAATGCCAACCGTCTCGTCTCACGAGCCGACAAACGCGTCATCGCTCACTATTACAATTATAGGTGCGCATACATATTATAACGCCGACGACGGTGGCAGCAATCGAGCTTATTTCACATGTGTGCCTTCTCATGTGTAGATACACTTGCGCTACGCTCACTATCATCTTGCATAACTCACACTTACTCACCGCATCGTATCATCGTACCTACTGGATCGAAGTACCGATTGAGCACACAAGCGTAGCTAGACAGATTGTTTATATGTATTGAGTGACGATACACGCCACGGTTGTAGTGTGCGGCGACATCGGGGCAGCCGGTGCACCGCCCGCCCGCCGATCTCCCCGCTACGCGACTGCGAACACCGCGCCGCGTCCGCGTCATTGAACAACAAGACTCGCTCGATGGCAGGCGTTTTCCTGCCAATATGAAAAGAGTTAAGCAACTCTATCACAAAATACGCGATAGTGGAATTTCTATGTTATTCTTATTTTACAAATAATTTATTTTTATAGTGTTGTTGCATTGGAAAACATATTTTTATTTATTAGTGAATAAAACCTAGATAATTATTGTAAATACGCTTTACTGGTGTTGTATTCGCCGTACAGTGCTCTGTGATTGTTTTGTTTAAATATTCTAAGCTTCGGGAAAATAGCAAAAAACAGTGATAGTGTGGATTAACTATCCAGCCCCGCAATATCGAGTGATCAACCAGTTTCTAGTGTCTCGATTGAGGTGTCATCGGATTCATTGACACAAGCATCACTAACTGTCATCAATAGGTGGAAAACCTACAAAAATTGTGGACGACACTGATTCAAATAGTAAGTAGAAACTTTATCAAAGAAAGTGTTGTAATTTTTCTTTGTAAACATATCAAGTGATTCTGACATGTGTGGCATACACATCCAATCAAAATACACGCCGTGTCGTGTGATAGTGATAGGTAACCCAAACACGAGAAACTTGCAAAAATTGTGCAGAGGAATAAGAATGTTTGTAGTAAAGAAGGCAAGGCAAGTGAGGCCCAAAGCAGCTCGGACGGCCGAGACGGCGGGAGCGTGCCAAGTGATAAGAGGCGCGCCGATAGCAACGTCACACCCAGACGTTGTTTGTGTGAATTTAAATAAATTTTCATGACAGACAGTTCCGTAATCACCTCTCGCCCATATCACAATCGTGACATGCCAACTCGGTATAGTGACCACAAGTCTGCAAACATTTATTTTAATACATAAAGATGTAATTTATTTGTTACAAACAAAATTACTAATGTCTCTGTATGCATCACAATATTATTTTTTCGAACTAGTGAAGTTGCTAAAAGAAAATGGTACTTAATAATTTATTCACAAATACAAAATAATGTTTTATAAGTAAAACATGACATTAGGCAATTAGTGTCTTCTTAAAACCAAAAATAAATGTATTCAAATTTCAATATTACATATTTCTTAATTTGAAAAAACTAGCCTCCGTTCTGTGATTTCTTGCTGGAAAATTTTTATTTTAGAATCCTAAGTTAAATGGTAGGAAAAACAGTTAGTGGTAATAAATGTTATTTATATCAATAATTGGCATGTTTTAAAATAAAAGCTCATTAATTTTTCATAAATTAATTGTTATGGAGTGAGAAAATCAGGTTTTAAAAATGTGAAAAATAACTATGTGCCTAGCTAGATCTTATAACTGATAATATTTGGACTATTAAGAAAGTTTTATTATATTAAATATTAAAATCCTAACATACTCTCTCCCATTATGCTCCGGTATGGACCATTATTGGAACCTAATATTTATTTTTTCATTTTAATTATAAAAAACCATAAACAATTGGAATCTAGTAAGTGACTAAAAATTATATTGTGATAAAATCATGAAATTTTAATAAACAAATATTAAAGATTAGTTTTGCTGTTGCACCAGACCGAACAGTAGGTATCTGTAACATAACATCTTAACATAATGTTGTTTATGCACAAGTGTGAGAGAGCTAAATACTGATAATATATTTTCAGACTTGTTTGCAGTTGGTAGCTCGTAGTAGGCAGATAGTTTTTTANTTTTTATTATTTGTTTACGTCTTTACAGTATGATACAGCAAGTTTCTAATGTTTCTAGTAAGAAACAGTGATAATTAATTATATATTTCTTTATCATTGCATTGGTATGGTAATATAAAACAAAAAAAAACTTGCTTGCCTATGAAATTTCATTATTCACGTAACAAATTATACAATAATTAATATACAATGCAAATTCATTTACTTAACCTTGTTTCTTATAAATAATCTTATTTCAAATAGTTTTAATTTGAAAGATATTTATCCATTTATGTACGGTACTCATTCACTCAACATTCACAAATTCAATTTACTTAAAAAATCAAGTTATAAATCCAACTCATAGCTTTAATAAATTAATATAAAGTACATACATTTGATAAGGGTGGAGCCATAATCAAGATTATAATATGTAGGTACTTTACAAAATAAATAACCTTTCATTTTGTAGACATGGAACTATCTAGCTAGCTACATCTTTGGACTAAAATATAATAAATCAAAATAAAGCAGACAGTACCTGTGTTTTTTAGAATTTCACTACATATTTTAATGTTTAAAACTAAGTCCTCCTCCGCGTCTGTCTGTTCGCGATAAACTCAAAAACTACTGAACGGATTCTCATGCAGTTTTCACCAATAGATAGAGTGATTCATGAGAAAGGTTTAGGTATATTAGTTGTGTAGGAGAAAAATATAGGATAGTCTTTATCCTGGTTTTCAAACCGGGGACGCGCGCGATAGAAAGAAGAAATTAAAGAAAAAAATACAATTTTATCCCAGCATTTAAAAGGAACTAGTAATACTTTACTAACTCAGCACTTTGTAGGTATATACCTACGTGTTCAACTTAAGACAGGTTTTAGAATCTCCTATTGTTTTTTAAAACTAGCATTATGTATTATGTAAAATATCATTATTTTTATATGTATTTATTTTTTCTTAAACATAATTATTTAACAAGCTGTAGCGTGATGGTTTATAATAATAGCCTGTAGCCTTCCTCAATAAATGGGCTATCCAACACAAAAATACTTTTTCACATCGGACCAGTAGTTTACGAAATTAGTGCAATCAACCAAACAAACTCTTCAACTTTGTAAATTAAAGATGGGCATCAAAATTCAAATATTCTTACTACAGTTAGGTTCTAATTATGCCACACTTAGGGCTTTATACAATTTAATAATGTTATTATAATATTAGACACACTTATGCCCGTTTTCACCATCAATCCCTAATTTTTAAGTGAACCCTATGTAAACAAAATTCCTGTTATTTCTTACTATAGGGGTCACTTAAAAATTAGGAATGGATGGTGAAAACGGGCATTAATAACTGAATATTCAAACCATGCCCATTCCTACCCAAGGTTATGGGCTGGATTTGAATGAATAATGTTTCGCTAATTGACGACTTTAAACAGAACTGTAAAAGGTGTTTCCGAGTGAAGATGTTACTTAACATTGAATAGTAATTATTTAATAATACATAGGTAGGCAAAAGTAATAATATGCGTATAAGAATCATGTTAATCCATAACTTTCCCATAAAAGACGAGGGAAAGGACCTACTTCACTTATCGTTAATGAATAATAATAGGACTTATGTACGAAGTACCTACATCTATTTTATAGCTTTTGGTATATTTTGGCTCCAAAGTTCAAGGCCAGCGTTTGTCTAGTTACCTTTCTTTCTCAATTCATCAAATAAGCATTATTATTATTTCACCAGTAAATAAGTTGTCTTGAGATGAGATTCATAAAGGGAAAGCTTTAAAGCATAAAAAAGCCTTTTCTGTAGATACATATAAATGCTAAGCAATAGCTCCACTCTGTAATGTTCATCATTGCTGGATCCCCAGACAACTTCACAAAAAACAGTCCTATACAGTCATCTTCGAAATCCATATCCATAGTACCTGACCTGTTCAAAAATCTTTATACTTATCCTAATTCGAATTCAATAATTACGGAACTAAAAGATGCAACGAATACCCACAGCTCATATTGAATTAGGTCTAAGACTGAGAACATTTCTTACACCAGACACTTTGCTATTTAATTTCAAATATTTGCAAACACAGCCCTCAGCTGCTATGCACTCGCCATAGGCGTTATCGTTAAATTTACAGGATAGGCTGTTAATTTTTTGTTCTGGATGCAGTAGTGTAATGTTGGTGTTGATGAGGACCACATAAGTGAGAGCAGTGTGTTGTGATTTGCAGATGCTCTCGGTTCAAGTGCCGGGGTGCGCGGGCATGGAGCGGCTGGGCGCGCCGGGGGGACCGCGCCTACGGCACGATCACAGACATCACCATTCCACATTGTAAGTACCTATCTCAATCTCCAACTCGCTTCTGCTGCACTATTAACAGACACCGCTTCCGCTAAACTGGCTAATCTCACTGCATGTGCACGACTAATAATTATGCTTTATTAATTTCTGCTTCTCGATTAATTGCCGTTCATGCATGCATATCCTCCTGGCTTTTTCCAAGAATACCCACCTCAGTATCACCTTCGTTACGTGCTACGGTCTGCCACCTTCAGAAAGCTGGAAAAGTCTATCCTGCCTTATCCTATTTAGCTTCTATTTCTGTAAACAAAAGTACGCGTGACAGCGCATCAAGCTAGTCGCATCATGCACTTGAAAAAAATAAATTCTGCAATGAAATTAAATGTAGGTATAGTCTGATGTGCTGTCGACTGTAAAACAATAATAATCTAATCATAATCTCCTTAGCTAGATCATTCTGGTCGACGCGTGTAGGTACTTATCATGGTCATACTAACTGTGCTTCTAATTTGGCCAGGCGCAAAAATACATTAGTCAATCCTCTTCCCAGGCTTCAATAAAAAAATCCCTGTAATGACCACAGCTCACTCCTTTTTTTTTCAATGGTGAAGGTTGTTAAACTGAACTTTCAACAAACCCTGGTGTCAGGCTTAGAACCAACTCGTATAACAGGCTCGATCGAGCCGATATTAAAATATTATACATGGCTATTCGAAGCACATTACGGAATCATATTGTTTTCGGAAAATCAGGTTGATGAAATGTTTTAATCGAACTGGGAAGAATACACAATAATATTGTGTCCTTGTTTATCGGACCCTGAACCTCTGAATCGAACATTTTCTAACCTTTGGAATACTGAAGCGTTATGCAAGACTGTTTCACTGGCACTAAACAACAGATAAACGCAGTTATATTTACTGATATGTGCACGTTATAAGCAAACATCCGTTAATGAGTGACACACGTGAAACTATAAACATTAATGTAACTCGCGATTTTTAAAAATAGACGTTTACCATACCCAATAAGCATCAACTCTCGCTGTTAGAACAACAATAACAATACAACCGGCAGGTTTCCTAAATGTACGTAATTTCAAAATCAAAACAATATTTTTATCAGTTCATGCTTCTCTTTTTAATTAAGTAGCATCGTACGAGTTAGATTGTAGTTAGGTACATAGTCTGGCTGATAATCTACGGCATAAGTATGGCCTCAATCAGATTACTTATCTATCTATTAGGTAATCGACAAGTAGAAATCTAATTTATATTATAAAAACAATATTAAGTAATCAAGTACAAATCTAATTTATATAAAAACAATATTACCGCTTTCCTTTCCACGATTCTGTTTTGTTAAGTTATACAGGATGATTTTTTATTGGTAGATGATCAAACAAAAACGATTGATTATACAGCTCTGTATTATTTGAAATTTTTAAGGAAAATCTAATCCGTATTCGTTACTGTTTCGTCTACGAACGACCATTCTTGACTTTAATTAGTTCTTCGTCGGATATGTCCTCGTTTTCCCCATAAGTATACCCAGCGAAAACCAGCAGGTACCTATTTCACGCGATAGTGCACGCCCAATACAATGCTTGAACGCTCCACTGCACGTTTCATAGGTACTAATTTTCCGCATAGAACAGCGAGATTGTGTATAATAAAAGATGATTTATGATTTTCCGTTGTGGATTTCAGGGAATGGGAGAAGCAGCAAAGACTGCAAGCGATGGTGGGACGGATCCAGGAGATGGTGGAACAAGAAACGCGCGCGCGGTCCGCCGCCGCGGCAGAGAGGCTCGGCCTGCCGCCCAGCATACAGCTGCCCGACGGCGAGTACGGACAAGACGCGCATTTACAGTTACGAGTCCCTTATCAGGTGAGAATGTGACAAACAACACCCATTCTTCGAAAATGAATAATCGAACCCCCGCAGAATGCTACGCATAATCTCTAGTTGAGCTAAGATTAAGTGCAAGCGAATTTGTGCCTTATCAGGGTTTCAACAGATAAATATTTGGCTATCGCTAAATCTTTGCTCAAGGAGAGATGATAACAGAGAAGCGTCTTAGTAGTCATCATAAGATAGCTGGGGAGGGTTTCGACTATAAACATCTGGAATCTTCAGACGAACTAAAGTAACTAACTCACTTCAACTAGTTTCGAAGACTCCAGAGTTTTGTGGACCATAATAACAATAAGCAACATGTATTTGTTTTGATATACCATATCTTTTTTCCCTTGCTTGCTTTTTACTTCCATTGCTGAGCGTCCCCCTCTGACCACCAGATGCACGTTTTTATAAAATTTATTTTGTTTTGGTCTCTGCTCAGTTACAAATGCGATTTCCGTATAAAATATCACTGGGCGGCTCGTCACGGTAGTTTATTACTTGTTGACGTAAGGTGCTCTTTAAATCCACTATCTGTCTATCCACTTCAATGTTCGACGTTTATTGGGGGAAAAGTATAGTATTAAGTAGGCAACGTAACAACTCAAGTAGCTTTTAAAATTGCTGACTCATCATATATCGCGTAACACAAAAGCTACAGAATTCACCAGCACCAATCAGTAGTAGGTATATTCACTTTCTATCAATTTATCCAAATGGGATAACCATTTTCATTTTTCTAGAGTTTGTCTTTCGACTCTATCAATGCGGTGCCATTCACTTGTCTTCAAATGTACCTACCGTCAACTGAGTCCAAACAAGTTATGATTAGAAATTGTACATTATAGGTAAGACTGGCGCATCATGCATAATGCATATTAGAAAGATATAATAACAAAGCTACCTTAATTTTTGTAATAAAAACAAGACGCACATGTATACTTGCCAGTTCCTTATCAGGTAGGTAGCCGTTTGAATTAGCCTCTTATCAAGTGTGCTCCCGTTTGAACTAGTCCCTTATCACGTGTATACTTAGTTTTTACTCCAGCGGTTGGTAGCGCCTTTCGACAATCATTCTAGCTATACTGCCCTGAAAAGGGCCTACACACTAATAAAGAATTAGAATAAATAAGTCCTGTATTATTATTAGGGTTTCTGCTCGAGATTTCTCGAACTCGAGAAAACTCGAGAAATTTGGCTTCATTCGAGACGAGAAAAAAATTACCGGAGCTCGAGAATTCTCGAGTTTCGATTTTGAAGCTTTAATATTCTTGAAAGCCTATTTTCTTAGACAAAAGTAAGTTTTTAATTATTTAATAGGTCAACGTTGCTTTAAGACTGGCCTAGTCTTTCCTTTTTTAACTGATTTGATTTGCAAGTAATGATCTTAATCGAAACTAAGTAATAATAATGTTCACCAACGAGTATGATAATTATATTATTATGTATTTTTAACTCTGCCTGATGTAAAGACTGAAAAACTTGTTAACTAGATAGTTACCTTACCTAACAGACCTTAGGTTAGGTACTCGTGCCTCCTCGTAAAGTTTATTCAAGTCGTTATCTGTAAGAAATTTAAAAATTTCTTCAAAAGTTTTTTTTGTTCATAAAAAAAACTATTTATCGTAATTTTGCTATTTGGACTTGTGTTCTTTAGAAAACAAGTGATTCAATTGTAGCTTCAGATTTTTATTGTTATTTATCCTTAAAGTACACGAGACTTTATGACTTTTGTTATGATTATTAGTAAATATTAATTATGAAAGAAGATTTTATTTTTCGTTTCTTTCCTTACCAAATAAGTGGTACTAAATTCTAATATTGATTGTTGTGCATAAAAGTAGGTATATTAAATTAAAAAAACCTGTGTTTTTATTAAATTTCAACCGATTTCAGCAGTTTTCATTAAAAGACTCGAGACTCGAGAAAACTCGAGACTTTGGCCTCGAGAATTCTCGAAACTCGAGAAAAAATATAAGTCGAGAAATCAGAAACCCTAATTATTATATTTCCCGCTAGGTTTGACTTACATTCCCTGATACCTACTCAGTTTGCATGCAATGCATGTTTCACGTTACGTCCATACACGGGCCACTTTGAAGTAGGTTAGGTAGCCATTACTTACTAAGTGATTGCTGCACTTTCCATTTGAAATCAGTCACGCGCAACACAGCATAATGTATTTTTGTGCTGTTCAGGGTTTTTACAAAAAATCCGGAAAGTATGTTGTTACGTATCATGTGCAATATGTTTAGAAAATATTATAGCTCAATCTAGTTCGTTTTATGGGTCTGCGCCCTTGCAATTTTAGTACCTAGACAAGGCAGCATAAGCGTATACTGTCATTTTCACAACTTATTATGGGTATTCTTTTTAAATAGAATGGCATGCACGGATTATTATAGTACCTATCTCGAACCCCTATCTCGAATTCTTTTCTACAATTTTGTCGGATGTTACATAGGATGTATTTATTAATTCAAGAATTTGTAGTTTTTTGTGGGGTGATTCTGACTGAGGCTTTGTGTCGTGTAAACAGTTTTAAATAAGTATAAGAGCAGGCCACTGCGTGCAAGCTATGCGTATCAGTGCCACGTCTGAAACAAGGTTCAGCAGGGGTTCGCAATCAGCCTACTCCCATTCGAATAGAATAGAATAGAATTATTTTTATTCGTCTAATTAATGGTACATGTTCATGAGTGTGTACTTACAAGCTACTTATAAATTATTACAGTTTGCAAGTAATTACACTAGGGGTATAGTTCGTATCCGAGTACCGGTCCTTGGGAGAGGGATCATTTGGTTGGTGGAACTATTACTCCCATTCGAGTCCAAACCGAACGTCGGAGCCCTACTGACGGAGGTGTCTATGTCCCCAGCAAGCCGAGCTGACGAGAAGCAGCTTCCAGCCGCCGCCGAACAAGTGCGTGAGCGACGTGCCGGAGTGGGCGGGCGACGGCGCGGGCGCGGCGCGGCGCGCGGGCAAGAAGGACGGGCTGCTGCAGAAGGCGACGCGCTGGTGGGGGCGCATGGGCGCGCGGCCGGGCGCGGGCGGCGCGGGCCCGCCGCCCTGCGTCATGGNTCGGTACGCTTGATACATGTGCAACCCAGTGTTGCCACCCACAACACACGTTACGTCCATACACGGGCCACTTTGAAGTAGGTTAGGTAGCCATTACTTACTAAGTGATTGCTGCACTTTCCATTTGAAATCAGTCACGCGCAACACAGCATAATGTATTTCTGTGCTGTTCAGGGTTTTTACAAAAAAGCCGGAAAGTATGTTGTTACGTGTCATGTGCAATATGTTTAGAAAAGATGTTATAGCTCAATCTAGTTCGTTTTATGGGTCTGTGCCCTTGCAATTTTAGTACCTAGACAAGGCAGCATAAGCGTATACTGTCATTTTCACAACTTATTATGGGTATTCTTTTTAAATAGAATGGCATGCACGGATTATTATAGTACCTATCTCGAACCCCTATCTCGAATTCTTTTCTACAATTTTGTCGGATGTTACATAGGATGTATTTATTAATTCAAGAATTTGTAGTTTTTTGTGGGGTGATTCTGACTGAGGCTTTGTGTCGTGTAAACAGTTAAATATAAGAACAGGCCACTGCGTGCAAGCTATGCGTATCAGTGCCACGTCTGAAACAAGGTTCAGCAGGGGTTCGCAATCAGCCTTTTCCCATTCGAGTCCAAACCGAACGTCGGAGCCCCACTGACTGAGGTGTCTATGTCCCCAGCAAGCCGAGCTGACGAGAAGCAGCTTCCAGCCGCCGCCGAACAAGTGCGTGAGCGACGTGCCGGAGTGGGCGGGCGACGGCGCGGGCGCGGCGCGGCGCGCGGGCAAGAAGGACGGGCTGCTGCAGAAGGCGACGCGCTGGTGGGGGCGCATGGGCGCGCGGCCGGGCGCGGGCGGCGCGGGCCCGCCGCCCTGCGTCATGGTGCCGCGCCGCCCGCGCGCGCCGCCCGACGCCTGACGCCGCCGCCCGCACCATATCACGCTTACATTCCATTGTCGGGCCGCGAGCGCTCGGCCGGAGTATTGTAGCCTCGCCGCCCGCCGCCCGCCGCCGCCGCCGCCGCCGCCGCCGCCGGACGCGCCGCCGCGAGTGCGATGTGACGCGCGGAACCAAGACTGAGTAATTAGCGCCGAGTCGGAGTCGAGGTAACGTTGTCTTAGGTAAAATTAATTCAAATAGAAACAATTAAAGTATATAATATTTAATGAAACTTTCGATTGTAACCTTCGATGATGTTGTATATTGTGAGAGGTCGGACGCGAGCGCCGGTCTCGCGGTGTACGGTTTCATGTTTATGTGACCCGTTTTGAACTTTATTTCTACCCGGCAGCTCCGAATCTGTGTTTAAACAACTTTTATATTTGTTTACGATTATAATATGTATGTGAAAGAATGCATATCAGTACGGTGAAAGCGAGGAATATTAATTTACAGAGCATAGTGCTATTTTATTGTAAATATTAGATTAATGATGGCCGAATGCCAGAATCCGAGGGTCTTTTCGATTGAGTGTTTACTACATTCCATATTTATGTTGAAATATTCTCAGTTCTGATTACTGTACACGCTGCTTTCCGCCCGCAATAGTAGTCTTTCTCGTTCGCGCCTCAACTCACTTGTGTGTTCTCCGGTGTATTGTCGTCGACAATAAACAGCAACTAGTGAATGATATTAAAATGCAATTATATAGAAATCTCATTAGGGAATAGACATTGTTTAAATTTTAAAATATTGGTTGACTTAGTTTTAAATTAAGCAAGTATTTATTGTAATTTATGTTAGCATACATATTCTGCATTACTTAATTAATAATAATTTTACAGTAAGTTATAAAATCCTAATAAAATAGTTAAAAATGCAGAATATGTGTGATCCAAAAAACGTTGAAGGATTATTTAAATTGTCATTACTAGCCGCTTCTGGGCATAAATAAACGTAACATGCCTTGAACATACAAATAAATATAAAAATATAATTTCCCTGTAATAAATAATAAATGTATATAATAAATGTATGTGCAAGGTATTTGTTGCCGAAAATGAATAAATGCAAGGTTGTCTGCATATCTAAAATGCATCGCATGTCAATGAGTCGATGGAGCGCAGGCAGCCTTGGCCGCGCGGCCATTCATGCTCAATAGGACTGAACTACGCCATTCATTGTTTATTATCAATATTATTTTGTCTACAAAGTGTCATAAAGCTGTAAAAATGTATGATTTTGTGTTTATTTTTATGTGTCATGTGTCCCATTTAATTTCGAAGCTACGCTATCCTGTATCATAATTCTCGTGTCAAATTCAAATTGAGTTGTGGTTAATGTGTCCGTAATAGTGTCTAATAATTATTGTCTGCCTCTTTTATGAGACAATGATGTAGAAAAAGCAGTTCTTGTACAAAATGCTAATAAAAATATAAAAGTTGTTTAAAGTAGTATCACAGAATAGATTTATAATCTAGAATCAAACAATATTCCATTTGTCATATAAATAAGTAAACGCAGAAGCAAATGATTAATAATAAAAAAAACTGCATTAAATTATGACCTACCAATAATGAATATGTTTTTCATTTGTCCTAATAACCTGTATAAAAATATTTTTTTCTAGTTTTATAATGTTATATCAGTGACTTGCTTTATTTTACTATGCTTTAATATTTTTATCCTTACCTCATCAATCCCGAATTCCCGAACAATTACCTTACCTACTTAAATATTTTTTAACCTGTTAATCTAATTTCAAAATTAAAAAAGAAGAATATGAAGTGAATGGTCTATAGATGACCCACGCTGAACTGTCCCGCCAAACTCAATGACAGGGGGGCGCTACCATCGTTCAACTATATGGTTTCCAACATGGTAAAAATCTGAACCAGCGATCCGGTATTGACGGTGGCGCCCCACTGTCATTGTCATCGACAGGACAGTCCAGTATTTTGGAACTATACAGGGCTAGATTAGATTTTCAGTTGAGGATGAATACGATACGAATCTGTCCTCGTCATATCGGTTTTATTCATTATAATAAACATAGGTCCGCTTCGAGGAATAAGTACCTCAATAACTTTTCTAACTTCGTGTGCAGTATCATAGCGTGCCTTAGACGAGCCCTGTACCCAAATTCCAAGTTGGTTGTGGCCCCCATGTAAAAAAGGTCACTAGATCATGGGGACCCTTTTTATTAAATTTAATCAAAATCAGAAAAAGTCCGGCCCTAGTAGGGGTGTTCGTGTGGTTTGCACATTATTTATGTTGACTGTGCTCCCAAGTTTCAGCAAAAACGTGATATCACGAACTTCTTGATGGAATGTGATGTTTTCTTATTTCATTCAATAAAAATGTCTAACTCTAATAAAAGGATTATACATTGTTTTTGAAACATCCTGTATATTTTTACGATTCTTTCGAGTATACCGATATCGGTTTGTGATTGAGACCTCACTATTTTCTAAATAAATTGTCTGTGGTCAGATTAAAAAAATTGTCGTTTGATTGAGGCAGATTGAGGTTATGTTATTGTTGTTGTTAGGCCCCAATAGATAATTATTTACATTGTGCTACAATTAATACATTTTACAATGCAAATATATGTCGACTGGTAAGTATGATTTGAATATTTTTATAATTTTTCAAAGATACAAACGAAATTAAATTGTAGAGCGCCAAAAGCGGTTTTGTCATGGTTTTGTCTTAAATTTTTCGAACATAGCTTGATTAGTGTCAACAAATTATAAATTAACACAAAAAGATTATCTACTTACTAGGCTTCCGGTATTGTATGTTAAATAATTTAATTTTTGCACTTTTTTTAGCTATTTAATCCCAAAATTGCTTAATTTTATTTTTGTCGGCAAAGGCATTATGCAATACAGACAGCTAAGTTCCCCCCATTTCCCTCGAATTTCATTCAGTAAAGATGCGGCATCCAGGCTCTTCCCGCGACCTTCATTGCAGCGCAGGACCGTTCATTGTGGAAAACCTTGGGGGAGGCCTTTGTCCAGCAGTGGACGTCATTTGGCTGAAAACGAACGAACGAAAAAGATGCGGCGCTTTATTAAAATATCACACGGACTTCATTGCGAATATTGGATTTAGTTATTAACTAATTTTTCGTACTAAAGGTTTGGCCAAACCAACGTGTGTATGCAGCCTGCATACGCGTTGGTTTGGCCGAACCTTAACTAAAAAAATCCATAGGAAAAAAGAAGTCCTTCAGACAACTTATACAAGTCGTTTATGTTTGTGAATAGACTTTTCTAAAGATTATTAACTAGAATCAGATTGATCTCAACTTATAATGCGAATGTTTTAATAATAATAAAAACAAGTTCATCGCCATTAATAAAAGAAGATGAATAAAATGACTACACACATCACTAGAAGAGGTTGAAAGTTAAAAAAAAATACAGTACCTTCATTGACATCACAGATTAGAGATTGACATTGACAGACAGTTGTGAACTTGTGACTCTTGTGAGTTGTCTAATGTCAATTTTCGTTGGAATTTTGTTGCGAATGTTCGTCTCGTAATAAAAAATTAATAAATTATATTTAACTCCTACCAGACACAACATATGAGTTAAATATAAAATTATAATCCGGAGAGTAACATTTATATACTTTCCCAAGGTAAGTACGAATTAAAATAGCTATTGCAATATTTATCAAAACACTTTATTTTGCTTGTATTCTCATAGTTATTAGCTTAGATTTTATGCATAAAAAATGTTTTAGGATTATTTGCACGTTGTATCATCGAAAATGGGACCTCCTAAGAAATTCAAAAAGTATGACTCTAAACCTGGAAGTGACAGATCAGGTAAGTTGTTCTATAGAAATGCAAAATAAACTGGATGTAGATTGCATTCTAATCATAATAATTATGTCTACCTGTATCATATTATCTATGTTATACATGTATCAGTATAACCAGTGAAAAATTATGCAATACCTATTTTCACATGCACTACAAGCCCCATTCTTTAGCATCCAAATGAAAACACTGTACATTTACTAAATCAAGCATAATGAAAATTATTACGTTTTAGGTAAGAAAAAGAAAGTGGAAGAAGATATGACTATAGACCTGGTGGATGATGAAAATACTGAGAATGTTGGAGTGCCCGGAGCTGCTATGCAGGATGCTGAAAAGAACGACCAAGTTCCTGATGATGAATTTGGAGCAAAAGATTACAGGTTCATTACATTTGAGATTTTTACATACCGATTATTAAAAAATTACCACAATGAGTCCTAAATGACAAAATATTTATTTTTTATTAGGAACCAAATGGAATTGAAGCCAGATAATGCAAGTCGTCCCTTATGGGTGGCACCAAACGGTCACATATTTCTTGAAGCATTTTCTCCAGTTTACAAACATGCACATGACTTTCTGATTGCAATAGCAGAACCAGTTTGCAGGTAATAAATTAGTTAAGGAAATTTGTATCTATTTGCCTACTTTCTAGTCTAAACACTTTCTTTCTTTTACACTACACAGAAACACTTGCAGCAAGTAATTCACCCATTTTGATTACAATGTTTCAGGCCTCAACACATTCATGAATACAAATTGACAGCTTACAGTCTGTATGCAGCTGTGTCTGTAGGGTTACAGACCGGTGACATTGTAGAGTACCTGCAAAGGCTCAGCAAGTGCACGGTGCCTGCTGGAATCATAGAATTTATCCAACTTTGTACATTATCTTATGGGAAAGTGAAGCTGGTTCTTAAACACAACAGGTATCTATATATATAAAAATGAAACCCGTTTCGCGTTGTCACGGCATCACGTGTGAACGGCTGAACCGATTTCGATAATTCTTTTTTTTAAATGTTTGTGGAAGTCCAAGGATGGTTCTTACGGAAAAAAATATTAAGAAAATCTCTACGCTAAGGCGGTACGAAGTTCGCCGGGTCAGCTAGTGTATTATAAATATCATAATGTCATTCAGTCTCATCATAAATAAACTACAGATTAGATAAGATTAGAATGCAGATTTTATTTTGTAACTTTATTTATTGTCTATGGCTAATATTTTTTTACCTCTATTCTATTGAGAATTCAATTGGGAAAATTATTCATAATATTTCAGAAATAAGCTAATGTTTTATTTTATTTCAGGTATCTAGTTGAGAGCAAACATGTTGAAGTGTTACAGAAGTTGCTCAAAGACCCTGTGATACAACAGTGTAGGTTACGCAGGGATGGTGATGAAGATTTTCTAGCGTCTGCACTACCCAACAAAACAGCAACGGCCGCTGTACCCGGTGCTGCTAAGCCAGGTATTAAGTTTAACCTTCAATGAATAACTATAAAATTGGCAGTGTTTGTGTTGTAAGTTAGGTTTGACTTCACTGAGTCAATCATTAGAGCTCATGTTGTACTTATTAGTACATGTCTGCATACAAACAAAATGATAACAAAAACTCAGAAGTTAAATGTGATAAGAAATTATAATAGCCATTTTCTGAAGCAATAAGTCATTTTCTTATTGTATAGTTATAGTATAATTAATTTTTTATTATAAATGTTTGTTATGATACAGCTGATGACAAACCAGCCGCAAATGGTACTGTACCAGATGACATCAGCCAGTTTTATCAACAGCTCGACAAAGACGACGATGATGATGAAACCACTGACATTGTAGCAAACACAGCAGTCGCTTTTGAAGTAGATCCTGACAAAATTGAGGTAAGTATGGTCAATCAAAATCAAAAGTATTTTATTCAATTTTAACCAGTATTTTGGCACTTATGAAATTGGTTTGTTACAATTTTGGACTTGCTCAAGTAACATTGACGAAATTTTCAAATAGCTATCATGAGGCGACACACACGTTTTTATACAATTTCGTAACAATGGGTAATATGAGTATGACGCAACGTGAGCGTAACGTATTATGCGACGATTCACATATTATATTTAACTTGCTTCAGGTAATACAAAAAAGATGTATTGAACTGGAACATCCGTTACTAGCAGAATACGATTTTCGTAATGATTCTGTAAATCCGGATATCAATATTGATCTGAAACCGACAGCTGTGCTTCGTCCCTACCAAGAGAAGAGTTTGAGGAAAATGTTTGGCAACGGTAGAGCAAGGTAAATAAATATACATTTTCTCTAAACTTTTTACAGTGATAAATAAATGTAACTTGGTAAAATAAGTGGTAAATAATTTGCTCAAGAGAATTTTCAACACATTTAAAAAATGGATAGAGCTGCATTAGGATGTAAAAACGCTGAATAGATCGCGCGAGAAGTACAGAACCTTTAGGGGTGGAATTTTGCAAAATTCCGTCTTAGTTCGTCGATTCTACGTTCTAAAAGAAACCCCCATGCAGAGACCTAGCACTTGTAGTTTCTGAGATTTCATGACGAGTGAATCAGTCTGTAACCTTTCGCTTTTATAGAGCGTCGTTAACGAGTGACACTTTTCGAGCTCGCCTATAATCGAATTTTCCTTTGTAATAAACATCAAAAACCGGGAACAGGGTTATTACAAAAATGTCCAGGAAACGGTTTTTTGTCTCCTAAAAAAATCGTTTC